AGCTTTTAACCATTGTGCAACCAGGTCTCTACTGTAGTGCATCCAAACCAAAAACCAAACCTGTTGCTGTGGAGTCGATTCCGACACATAACGACCCTGTAGGATGGGGTAGAACTGCCCCAGAGAGTTCAAATCCACCAGCCTGTCCTTGGAAACTCTGTGGGGCAGTTCTACTTGGTCCTATAGGGTCGCTATGAGTCAGAATCGATTCGACAGCAACAGGTTTGTTTGCTTTGTCTTGTTTTGGTGTGCACTGTAGTGGATATGACACCATTGTTTTATCTTTCTAACATTCAACCTTGATCAAGTTGCATAAGCTCTCTAAGACTCACTTGCAAAATTTATTTTTAAAAATATATCTCACTCTAAGATACAACTATTGGTCTCTTTCTGTCTGGAGCAAAGGAGAGTGAAGAGAACCGAAGACTCAAGGAAACAATTAGTCCAAAGGACTAATGGACCACAGCAACCACAGCTTCCACCAGCCTGAGACCAGAAGAACTAGATGGTGCCCAGCTACCAATACCAACTGCTCTGACCAGGATCACCATAGAATGTCCCGGACAGAGTGGGAAAAAAATGTAGAACAAACTTTAAATCGATTAAAAACAAAACACCAGATACACTGGTCTGAGAGAGTCTGGAGGAACTCCCCAGGCTGTGGCCCTTAGACACCCTTCTAATTGGGAACTGAAGCCATTCGCAGAGATTATCTTTTAGCCAAATGATAGACAGGCTTATAAATAAACAATAACACATGAGGAAAGTGCTCCTTCCTACAGTCAACTACATGAGACCAAAAGGACAACATATGCCCAAAAGCAAAGATAAGAAGGCAGGAAGGAGCAGGGAAACTGGATGAATGGCAATGGGGAACCCAGGGTGGTAAAGGGGAGAGTGCTGACACATTGCAGGGAGTACAACCTACGTCAAGGAACAATTTTTGTATAAACTATTGCATGGGAACCTAATTTGCTCTGTAAACCTTCACCTAAATCACACACACACACACACACACACACACACACACACACACACACACACACACAAAACCTAGAGGTTTTTGAAGTAACACACATAAATATATGTATACATATGTATATATCTCACTGTGATGACCAAGACACTCCTTACCATAGAGTTTGACACATGATGATGTCTCAATAAATGTTTGATAATAGATGAGATTATCAACTGTGTGCTTTGTTGTCTTGTCTGATTTGTATTTTCTGATTTCTCTGGGTAATTAAAGTACTTGTAGATGGTAGTTCATTTAAACCATTGGTATTTTATTTGCACGCTCAAGAAAGTATTTTTAAGGGAATACGGAAGGGATCTTGAGAGTTTTATCTGTTCACTGTCTTTCAGGAGACCTACGTCTAGATCAGGTTTCCCGGTCATTACACTATTGACATTTTGGGTCAGATAATGCCTTGTTATGGGGGGCTCTTCTGAACACTGTGAGCTGTTTTGCGGCACTTCTGGTTTAGACGCACCAGATGCCGGTAGCACCCCTTCCCTGCCTCCTTGTAACAACCCCAAACGTTGCCAGGTATTGTCAGATGTCATCTGGGCGAACAGAGTTATCCCTGGTTGAGAACTTCTGTCTGAGCCATGAACCATGGCTGAAAACTTGAAAACTTGGTAATAGCCTATTGAATTGTTCACTCATTCTGCTACTTGGGGTCCTTTCTGTGTGACGCCAAGTCTCTCTTAGGGTGTATATTCTTCCGTGACCTTATTTCTAAACAAATGTTTATAAACATGCGCTCTCGTGGCCAGTGTCAGTCTTGAATATTGAAAAGATCATCCTGTAATCTTGCTTTTTCAAAATACTCATAAGCTAAGTGTTCTTAATACTCAGGGTCTTAGATAATCAGGAATGTCTTAATCATGTCTTTCTCTGTGGTATTTGCATTTCTGGTAATTAAAGACTAATGAGCATGCCCTTTTATGTGATATTTTAGTTCACTTACACCTTTATAAATATTTCAGCTTTGTCATAATTAAGTAAATTGATCGTTACTAATTAGGAATGCAATCAGTTGATGTAGCTTAAAAATACTTAAATGTAGCATTTCTAATGTGTTCTAATATTCTTTGAGTATAATTCTTCACAAAGATTCACAGAGATTCTTTTTTCTTTTTTTTCCAAAATCAATCCATCAATAAATAAAGCTAAGTGGTTTTCTGATTACAGGTAGCTGGATTCATATGATTATACACATGGGTATACTTGCTGTACATCTGATTTTGTTGCTCTTTCACAGAAAAGCAAATAGGAAAAAAGCATTCTGTAGAATCACTCTGAAAAGAAAAAAAAAGTTTCATTTATAAAGTTTTTATTTTGTAAAACTATAATTTCATCATATCATATAAATCTTAAAGACAGCTTTAAATGTTTTTTTGTCATAATTATGCCATAAAGTAAGCTAGGAGTAAACAGAAAAATGATGAAAAATTAAATTAAAATTTACAGATTGCGTTCTTTCCTTGTAAATTATTTTCCTGAGTCAATAACAATGCATATGATGAATCATCAACTTTCAAACAGAAACTATGTGATTATCTTTTTAATAAACTAATAGTGCATATATTTTTGATATTTATTTAACTATTACAAGGACTTTCATGTTTTTTGTATAAAAAATTACTGGTAAAATATTTAAAATGTGAATGAGTATGGCATAAAATGTCTTTGAAGAGACCTAACATATTTCCGAAATTTTAAATCCATTGTCAGTTGTAATTAATATTGACTTTTGGTATTGTCTCATGTACTAGTTACAAATTATGTCAGGAGTCAGAATTTTCACATGACCAGATCCAGACTATTCATAAGTACTTAGCTATTTATATCTTCTTTTGGTTAGATATGACACATTTTAATCGCATTTAAAAGTCAATGTAATTTTACAAGATGAAATCATTTTTTCGATTATTGAAACATCAAATATTGTGGTTATCAAAAAAGCCCACTATGCCACTACAAATATTTTAAAAGTGTGTAATAGCTTTTTAGTCATTTGTTGCAGATCTAGTTAAGAATTTTGCCTGCCCATTAAAGAATTATTTGGCAAGGAAAAGAAATGTTGTACTGCTGTGAGTAATCTGATTATTTGCTGGAACATTTGGCTACTGGAGACAGAAAGTCTACTTTATTTAATTTTAAAATAATATGCACTGAGTAAATTATGGAAGTAGCCACTAAAGAAATCACTTGACTTCAAAATTAGCAAGATCTATTTATTTTAAAGTCGGAAGGTAATCAGTGCCTCTTAAAAGATGGAGTATGTTCACAATTTTTTTATCATGTCAAATGCCCAGTTACAAAATGTTACTTTCAACATGAGTTAAAGATCTTCAGCCTGAACCTCTAGAAAAGGTAACATCTGCAAAACAACACACAGCAACAAAATTGTGTGCCATAATATTGGTGGTTATTTGACTTGAATTGAGTTTTTATTAACATTCACGAAAAACCTGCTCCAGGACAGTTAGTCTCCGAGAGAACGCTGGCCGTTCTCTTCTTAAAACCCTCTAGACGTTTCATTATCCTAATTCATGTGGGAAACCTGAGTATGAGAACGTTAGAGAAACTAACCCCAAATTCCACACATAGGAAATGGTACTCCGAAAATTTGAATCCAGGTCAAATGACCTTTGTGCAACCACCGGTTAGAGGCATGCTCTCCTCCTGCTTTCTGGGAAAACATGTAAAATAATCTCTGAGGCTCGTAGAAACAGTCTTACATGACAATAACATTTTATGACTTCGTATCTGTGCAACTCTGTGACCTATGGGGAGCTCAGTTTAAAAATCACTTCCACAGTAGGATAAAAGAGACTACAAAGATCATCATATACATATGATCAATAAAACACAGAGGAAATGCACACCTATACCAAATATGTGTAATATATACATATACGTAGTATTAAAAAAACCTGTTGCAGTCGAGTCGATTCTAACTCATAGCGACCCTATGAAACAGAATAGAACTGCCCCATGAGGTTTCCAGGGAGAAACTGGTGGATTTGAACTGCCTGCCTTTTGGTTAGCAGGTGAATGCGTAACCACTGTGCCACCAGGGCTCCGTACACAGTATAGGAAATATAAATACACATGCATAAATGTTACATACAAATAAACAAATTGTTTATTTTATACATAAATTTTTATGTTTGTTGTGTGTGTGTGTGTGTATTGATATTGTGGTATGTTTGTGGGAAAGCATAAGTAACCATAGAAGTATTTCATAAATACATGAATTCACAAATTTATACTTCACAATTGTTTGCCTAGTATAATATAAGATAGGCCATTCAATGATGTGCAAGGCATTTGGTAAAAGCTAAACAGATACAGTGTCTGCACTCAAAACTTAAAGTCCAGTGAGAGAGATAAAATACATGCATACTCAAGTTACTAAAGACCAAGAAAGTAACAGGGAGGGGGCTTAATAGAAACATTGCCAAAATCCATGTCCTCCTGTCCCCCCCCGTCCATTTGATCCCACATTTCTGAACTCAGTCCATGTAACGGAGCTGTCAAACTAGGAGCAACTCTAAGTCACTGTTAGGTTTCTTAGTGACTTGTCACCAAAATGGAGACCTGGTGGCACAATGATTTTAAGATCTTGGTTGCTAACCAAGAGGTCAGCAGTTCGAATCCACCACCCACCCCTTGGAAACTGTATGGGGGGCAGTTCTACTCTGTCTTATGGGGTCACTATGAGTTGGAATCAACTATATGGGTCTTTTGGTTTTGACTCACCAAAATGGCACCCGGCGCAAATCCACACCCTGTCTCCTTGGTGGAGCAGTAATACATGAGTATGTAAAATTGCACCTTAATACGCAGAAATATATTATCTAGTGGAAAGATTTTCAAGTTTTATGCAGAAAAACTTATCTTTCTTTCGAGTATTTCTTGACTGTCTATTGATATAACTAAATGTATTTGAATTGCTTTTCTCTCTCTCTCTCTGTCTCTACAGTGCAAGCTAGAATATCAGGCATGTGTCTTAGGAAAACAGATTTCTGTCAAATGTGAAGGACGTTGCCCATGTCCCTCAGATAAGTCCACAAGTACAAGCAGAAATGTTAAGAGAGGTAAGTGATAAGAATTTCTTTATACGTATATATGTATGCTTGGATAATATAGAAGGAATATAAAAGCTTATTATTGAAATGTGTTTTTATAGTCTTCCCAGCCTCTTTAAATGTTTTGCAATAAATGTCATTAAATACACAATAAAGTTCACTTTTTACAAATACTTAATGGTAAGTAGTTTGCCAGTGAGATTTTGTATTTCTTTTTAATTTAGTCTCAGTTATTATAGCAAGTAATGGTTTTCTATAGAGTTCCATTTACCTCAGTAGTAATAGCTGGAGGCTTCTTCCCTGTGTGCTTTCCGTAGTTAAGACATCTAAAGCAATGCTGTCTAAACTTTATGATATGTATATAGTATATGTATATAGCATAAAATTTGAGTATTCTTAAATTGTTTGCATAGTTTAAATGGTGGCTATTGGTGTTCAATATCTATGTGTGATTCTTTTTATTCGCTGAGTCAAGGACTACAGTTGAGAAAGAGTAGTCATAATAAGTATATAGCTCTGATATATCACAGCCTTTGACAAAATATCCCCCCCTTAATCTTACTTTTGAATGAAAAGATATATTTGATGTCGTATCAATTTATTATAACTTCTCACAAAACTGCAAAAGGAGCTCAATATGCATTTCAGATAGAAGGTAGCAAATCTGAGAATAGGATCCCTTGTGAATTAACAATAATTATGTTTCATGTTCTTCAGAGTCTCAATACAATGTTTATATTAATATGTCAAGAAGGAAACTTTTCTTAAAGTCCTATCATCAGGGGATAAAGATCGTTTGTGTTCAATTGTGTGTAGGAAAAGAGGCAAGAAGAATTTAAATTGATCCTGCTGTGATGGATTGTCAGGGCAAAGAAAGTACAGGATTTTGTTAGCTGCTGTGGAAAAACAGTGCAGAAAATTTTGAATGTCATTTCTACACAGTGCAAAAGGCCGAGAGACATGGGAAATGTAAAACTGAGTTCACTATCATTTCTAATCTTTCAACTGCCATTTACGTTAGAAGTGCGCCTTCGGTAGACCGCAGAGTGCACAATATTCTATTTCATATCAGCTCTCTTCTAGAAAATGTGAGGCAGAAACTACCAATTATGAAATATTTCTTAAATCTTTGACTTCCTACATCTGAGGACAAATGTATGACACGATATTTCTATATTTTCACTATGTTGAGAGGAGAATAAGTCTTTAAATCTGCTGGAAATTTATTAAAGCTAACAAAGGCACATTTCTTCTATAAAGTAGGAAAACATAAAATTCTCCACTGTTCCCCTAATGTATTCAGTAGTGGGTGTACAGAAATTGGTCACAGTATATACATTCAAGTATTCCAAACAAAGAAAAACAGATAATTTACATTTTTTAAATTCTGAATTGTGTATAACTTTAGATAAGCATATCCCCTTCAGTCAGTAACTGAACTATACAGTCTTCTGCTTTTCTAACTCACCACATCAAAATTACACTTTTGTAAGTCAGTGCTTCTAATTCTCTGTAATGGATTCTGGCCTTCTTTTCTTTTTTTAAAATTTTACTGTGTAATCTAAAATAAAGGAGTTACCATGTGGAAAGTGAATTAACTTTGTCAAGGAATATTGACACTTCAGCTGATTTTTAAAGGCCCCAAATATTATTTTTACATGACCGGGAAATATGAGATTCGTAGTAGTGAGCATGGAATGCTAAGATATAGATACATATACATACATATATACATACATACATATGTATGTGTGTAACCATCCTAAGTCTGTAAAGGGAATTGTAGAACAAAAGATCTTTCACCAATGGAAAGGTCCTTAGAAAGCATTTATTTTGCAGTTGATAAATCCAAACTAAAAAGAGTCTACCCTAGACATATACTAGAGTGTTTATACTGCAGTAGTATATAAAGTAATCTTTATATCATGAGGGTTCCAGTTGGTTATTCATTTGATTGACTAGGTTCAGAAGATTCAACTTAATTGGTGTTTTCCTTTTATTTCAAAAGTTGTGTTCCAAGGCTCAAAATAATACTTTCTATCATTACATGTTTTATGTCACTATTATAGTTTTATATACCTAATTTCTTATTCTTTTGTTAATTTAAGGAAAGAGGACAGAATAGAAAAGGGAGATAGAGCCCTAAAGTCATGGGGATATTCTAGGAAGGCCAAGTATTGCATTTCAGCTGAGATGTAGGGTACTGGTAAGTAAGCCACAGAGGGAAAAGCAGATTGGTATACCTAGACACAAGAAGCTTTGGGTTTAATTCATTAGAGTCACACATGAGCATTTCCAGTGATAGGATATTATCCACATGCTACAAGGAAGATCAGTTAATAAGACTATTATTCAAATTTATGCACCAAACAATAATGCCAAAGGTTAAGAAACAGAAGATTTTTACCAGTTTCTGCAGTTTGAAGTTGATCACACGTACAATCAAGATGCGTTGATAAGTACTGGGTGATTGAAATGCAAAAGTGGGAAACAAAGAAGAAGGATCAGTAGTTGGAAAATATGGCCTTGGTGATAGAAACCACACCAGAGATCACATGATAGAATTTTGCAAGACTAATGACTTATTCCTTGCAAATATCTTTTTCAACAACATAAATGGCGACTATACAGGTGGACTTCGCCAGATGGAATACACAGGAGTCAAATCGACTACATCTGTAGAAAGAGACTATGGAGACGCTCAGTATCATCAGTCACAACAAGGCCAGGGGCCGACTGCAGAACAGATCATCAGCTGCTCCTGCGCAAGTTCAAGCTGAAGCTGAAGAAAATTAGAAGAAGCCTGGAAGGCCGAAGTATGACCTTGAGTATATCCCACCTGAATTTAGAGACTATCTCAAGAATTGATTTGACCCATTGAACACTAGTGACCGAAGACCAGATGAGTTGTGCCATGACATCAAGGACATCACACAAGAGGAAAGCAAAAGTTCATTAAAAAAGAAAGAAAAGACCAAAATGGATCTCAGAAGAGACTCTGAAACCTGCCCTTGAACATCGAGTAGCTAAAACGAACAGTAGAAATGATCACATAAAAGAGCTGAACAGAAGATTTCAATAGGTAGCTCAAGAAAGCAGAGTAAAATATTATAATGAAATGTGCAAAGACCTGGAGATAGAAAACCAAAAGGGAAGCACGCGCTCAGCATTTCTCAAGCTGCGAAAACAAAAAAAAAAACTCAACCTCAACTTGCAATTTTGAAGGATTCTATGGGCATGATCCAACAGAATGCAGAAATTATCAAACAATATGATTAGTATCACATGCAAGTAATACACTGCTGGAGATAATTCAAAAATGTTAGCAGCAGTACACTGACAGGGAACTGCCAGAAATTCAAGCTAGATTCAAAAGAGGACGTGGAATTAGGGATATCATTGCTGATGTCATATGGATCATGGCTGAAAGCAGAGAATTCCAGAAAGATGTTTACTTGTGTTTTATTGACTACGCAGAGGCATTCGACTGTGTGGATCATAACAAATTATGGATATCATTGTGAAGAATGGGAATTCTGGCATAGTTAATTGAGCCCATGTGCAACCTATACATAGACCAAGAGGCAGTTGTTTGAACAGAACAAGCGGATACTGAGTGGTTTAAAATCAGAAAAGGTGTGCATCAGGGTTGCATCATTTCATCATACTTATTCAATATTTATTCTGAGCAGATAATCCAAGAAGCTGGACTATGTGGAGAAGATTGTGGCATCAGGATTGGAGGAAAAGTCATTAACAACCTGTGATACGCAGATGACTCAACCTTGCTTGCTGAAAGTGAAGAGGTCTTGAAGCACTTACTGATGGAAGCCAAAGACTACAACCTTCAGTATGGATTATACCTCAACATAAAGGAAATAAAAATCCTCACAATTGGACCAATAAGCAACTTAAATGGAGAAAATATTGAAGTTGTCAAGGATTTCATTTTACTTGGATTCACAATCAATGCCCATGGAAGCAGCAGTCAGGAAATCAAATGACTTATTGCAGTGGGCAAATCTGCTGCAAAAGACCTCTTTAAAATGTTAAAAAGTAAAGATATCACTTTGCAGACTAAGGTGGGCCTGACTGAAGCCTTGGTATTTTCAGTCACCTCATATGCATGCAAAAGCTGGACAACGAATAAGGAAGACTGAAGAAGAATTCATGCCTTTGAATTATGGTGTTGGCAAAGAATATTGAATATACCATGGACATGGACTGCCAGAAGAACAAACAAATCTGTCTTGGAAGAAGTACTGCAAGAACGCTCCTTAGAAGCAAGGATAGCAGTGAGACTGCCCCTGAAGGACCTGACATGTTATCAGGAGGGACCAGTCGCTGGAGAAGGACATCATGTTTGGTAAAGTAGAGGGTCACTGAAAAAGAGGAAGACTCTCAATGAGATGGATTGACTCAGTGGCTGCAACAATGGCTCAAACATAGCAAGGATTGTGAAGATTGTGCAGGACCAGGCAGGGTTTCGTTCTCTTGTACCGAGGGTCTCTATAAGTCAGAACCGACTGGATGGCACCTAACATCAGCAACATATGTATATAATATGTTTGAGGGAATTTCTTCCTCTGTTATGTGTTGCTATGTTGTGGGGTAATATAATTTATTAGTTAAGAGTATGAGTTTTGGAATCCTAGATCTGCACTGGCTGACTGTGACCTTTGGCAATATATTTAAGTTTTTAAACCTCAGTTTCTTCACCTGAAGAATTTAAAATATATAAATGGTACGATTTACGGATGTTGACTCCTCAAATTAAATCATCTTTACATTTCTTCATTTTTATGGATGATACTGGTAAGATACTGTTGAATTCAATTTTATTATTGAATTATGTCATACATTAAGTGTCATTTGTGTGTAGGTTTTTTTGTAACGCTTTTTAGTCAATTTTGGTTACAAAAAACGTGAAGAGTTTTTTTTTTACAATTAATATAGTATACACTGCGTTCGATATCTATCTATACATACAGTTAATATGTCTACGCTGA